TTTTTCCTAATATCCAATCTAAACCTCCCCTGGCGCAGCTTGAGCCCATTTTCTCTCATCCTACCACTCATTACGTGGAAGAAGAGACCAACACTCACCTCACTACACCCTCCTTTCAGGCAGTTGTAGAGAGTGATAAGGTCTCCCCTCAGCCTCCTCTTCTCCAGGCTAAACAATCCCAGTTCCCTCAGCCGCTCCTCATAAGACCTGCTCTCTAGGCCCTTCACCAGCTTCGTTGCCCTTCTCTGGACACACTCCAGAACCTCAATGTCCTTCTTGTACTGAGGGGCCCAAAACTGGACACAGTATTCCAGGTGCCAGCCTCACCAGTGCCGAGTACAGGGGGACGATCACTTCCCTGATCCTGCTGGCCACACTATTCCTTACACAAGCCAGGATGCTGTTGGCCTTCTTGGCCACCTGGGCACACTGCTGGCTCATGCTCAGCCAGCTGTCAACTGGCACCCCCAGGTCCTTTTCTGCCATGCTGCTTTCCAGCCACTCTTCCCCAAGCCTGTAGCGTTGCATGGGGTTTTTGTGACCGAAGTGCAGGACCCAGCACTTGGCCTTGTTGAACCTCATACAGTTGGACTCAGCCCATCAATCCTGCCTGTCCAGATCCCTCTGCGGGGCCATCCTACCCTTAAGCAGATCGACACTCCCACCCAGTTTGGTGTCATCTGCAAACTTACTGAGGGCACGCTCAATCCCCTCATCCAGATTGTTGATAAAGATATTAAAATTAAACAAGAGTGGCCCCAAAACAAGAGCCCTGGGGAACACTGCTTGTGACCGGTCACCAGCTAGATTTAGCTCCATTCACCACAACTCTCTGGGCTTGGCCACCCAGGCAGTTTTTTATCCAGTGAACGGTACACCTGCCTAGGCCGTGAGCCGCCAGCTTCCTTAGGAGAATGTTGTGGGAGACAGTGTCAAAGGCTTTGCTGAAGTCCAGGTAAATGACATCCACAGCCTTTCCTTCATCCACTAGGCAGGTCACTAGGTCATAGAAGGAGAACAGGTTGGTCAAGCAGGACCTGCCTTTCATGAACCCATGCTGGCTGGGCCTGATGCCCTGGCTGACCTGCACATGCCTGTTGAGCGTACTCAAGATGAACCACTCCATAATCTTCCCTGGCACCAAGGTCAGGCTGACAGGACTGTAGTTCCCCAGATCCTCTTTCTGGCCCTTCTTGTAAATGGGCATCACATTGGCAAGCCTCCAGTCATCAGGGACCTCCCCTGTTAACCAGGACTGCTGACAGATGATGGAGAGTGGCTTGGTAAGATCCTCTGCCAGCTCCCTCAGTACTCTTGTGTGAACCCCATCCAGCCCCATAGACTTGTGAGTTTCCAGGTGGCGTAGCAGGTCGTTAACTGTTTCCTCCTGGGTTATGGGGGCTTCATTCTGCTCTCCGTCCCTGTCTTCAAGCTCAGGGGGCTGAATGCCCTGGGGATAACTGGTCTGGCTATTAAAGACTGAGGCAAAGAAGGCGTTAAGTACCTCAGCCTTTTCCTCATCCTTGGTGGCAATGTTCCCCCCGCCCCGCACCACATCCAATAAAGGATGGAGATTCTCTTTGGCTCTCTTTTTGTTGTTAATGTATTTGTAGAAACATTTTTTTATTATCTCTTACAACAGTGGCCAGATTGAGTTCTAGCTGGGCTTTTGCCTTTCGATTTTCCTCTCTGCATGACCTAACGAGATCCCTGTACTCTTCTTGAGTTGCCTGGCCCTTCTTCCAAAGGCAGTAAACTCTCCTTTTTTCCCTGAGTCCCAGCAAAAGCTCCCTGTTCAGCCAGACCGGTCGTCTTCCCTGCCGGTTTGTCTTACGGCACATGGGGACAGCCTGCTCCTGCGCCTTTAAGACTTCCTTCTTGAAGAAGGCCCAGCTTTCCTGGACCCCTTTGCCCTTCAGGACTGCCTCCCATGGGACTCTCCCAACCAGTGTTCTGAACAGGCCAAAGTCTGCCCTCTGGAAGTCCATGGTAGTGGTTTTGCTGGCCCTCCTCCTTACTTCACCAAGAATTGAAAACTCTCTCATATCATGGTCACTAAGCCCAAGACAGCCTCTGACCGCGACATCTCCCATGAGTCCTTCTCCGTTTGTAAACAGCAGGTCAAGCGAGGCACCACCCCTGGTAGGCTCACTTACCAGCTGTGTCAGGAAGTTATCCTCCACACACTCCAGGAACCTCCTAGACTGTTTCCTCTCTGCTGTGTTGTATTTCCAGCAGATGTCCAGCAAGTTGAAGTCCCCCATGAGAACAAGGGCTAGCAATAGTGAGACTTCTGTCAGCCGCTTACAGAATGCTTCATCTACCTCTTCATCCTGGTTGGGTGGTCTATAACAGACTCCCAGCAGGACGTCTGCCTTGTTGGCCTTCCCCCTCATCCTTACCCATAAGCGCTTGACAACTGTTGAGCTCTATACAATCAAAATCCAAATATATGTAGAAATCGGAAAAATCCACTTAACATACCATCACTCCCTCGTGATGTTGTGGATCTGACATCTAGTGATCCTTTCCTCCTGTCTTTGTGTCTGCAAGTCTGAATATCTGTGGAGAAAATATTGCACAATGACATTAAGTTGTGCCTAAAATATATGTTAAAGGAACTGAAACTCAGAGAAAGCTTGCTAGCAGCTGAGTGACATTTACCACAATGCTTCAGCAGATGAGAACCAATGAAAGCTCCTTTTCAAACTCTCGCCCAATTACACTGTTATGAACCCAGTCATGCTCTCTGGCAGAACACACCTAAGTGTTTTTACAGAAGGGATCTAACAAAGTGGAGGGAAAATTTCCTCTCTTGACACAGTGACACAATTGTGGTTGTGAATACAACTTGTGCAACACACCTGAGTTCACTTAACTAACAACTGCCACAAAGAGCTGGTGGACCAAAGCAGACTACACACTAGCAAACTAGGCAATGTATCCTAGGTCCCTTACAGACTCACAACAGATACAACCTGTGCTACCAAGGCTACAGTTAACAAGCACCTGCAGCACAGATGCCAAGGATGTCTTAATTGAAGTGTTGATATGTGGGATGAGGGTAACTGGTAGTGTCGGTCATCCTCATTTCCACCCACATGCAAACACCCCACAATACAGTTAAAAGCAATGCAAACATACATGCCACTAGCTATAGGCCAGCCACAGCAACATCATGACTAGACAGCATCCTTCCTATTTCTAATTTTGTCACAGGGATCCACTACCTACAACTGAAATGTGACGCTGAATCCAGCAATACCACGATACCAAATTGGGGCCCTATTACTGTGTTTTCAAGGGTGGGTTGCTTTATATCACTTCTACAACAAATGAGGCAGGTAGAGAGGGCTTGTATTTATTTTCCTGCCTTTTGAGCTGGATTCCCAGCTTATCACTAACTAAATAGTACTGTTCAGACTGTCCTGTGCAACTGTGGTTTTCAGTCAGATCACTAACAACGGGCTTTATTCTTTCCCCAGGTATGTTCTCCACTTACTAGGACAGAAGAGATGTGTCATACCTGTCTGAGATTCAGCCTGAACACGTTCACATGTCTTCTCTGCCTACAATTTAGTAAGAGAAATCCAGTTAGAACTTTCCCATTATTTTGTAATATTTAGGGCTCAAACTAAACCAAGCATAGCACTATTTTCACTTACCTTATTGTTGTCATTGCACAGTCTACTAATTGACACATAGTGTCTAATCTTTCTGTAGGCAAAAAACAGTATGTTAATTCCAATCCAAACCTCAGCTCTAATCCAGTGCTGATACACAAAATGGGTAAGAGCAACAAATTAATATAGGACAAATCCTGTTCTGGCAGGAAGGCTCAACTGGGAATGGAAAAAAACCACAGTTCTGCACGTGATGGGGAATACAAAATGGAAGCATCTTTTGCAAAGATTGTCTCCTCCTCTTTCTCTCTGTTCCCCCCCCCGGCTTCTTCTGGGCTACTGTAGGATGTTTCAGGTATGATATAAATGTGAAACACACAACAGTGCATTCAAAACCTTCTATCGGATTTAGGGATAGAACAATCAAACTGAAAAGTACACCCTTGATTACCATGAAACTCTGAGCCAGCTTCAAATGGGTTTAGATTGTTCCATAAGTAGCAATGTATGTAATACATATTGGTCTTACAAGTTTGGCATCTTAAGCTGAAAATATGTTTTCACTCTATTGATGGAGAGTAGAGAACAAGAATTACTTCCAAGGATGAGATCAACCCCAAACACTTTTTTTTAGGAAGTAACTGCATGAAGAAGCTGCATTTGGCCTTTGGCCTTTCCTTCATGAAGACACACCTTTCTAAACAATTGTCTCAGCCAAGTCTGGAAGATAATGTGCCATGCTTTTAATTAATGTTCGTGTTGCCTTAGAGGGCTTTGAAACTACTGCTGGGTGCAATCTGACCCACTTTCTTCCCAATATAGTATAGAAGGACTCATCATAAATGTACCAGTAACAAACATATACCTGTGTGCTCCAAATGCTCTATTTGGAGACCAAGTGAAAGTTGCACAAAAATCAAGACGTGCTTGAATTTTGAGCAGGATCAAAGCACACAGTGCTTTGATGCATCACATAAAGGCACTCAGGAATAGCCATTAGTGGGTGAGCACGGAGGGACATAGTTCAGGTGCACAATGGAAAAGGACGTAGGTCCTGGTGGTCCCAACACAACACACAGAAAGAGAGGAGGGTGTACTTGCGCTTCAGGGAGTATTAGAAAAGTTAAGAGTCACAAGTGAACACATCTGGATCTTTGGCTCCTTTTTGGGGAGAATTAGGAGAATTTCACTTTCCCTGCACACAGCATGTGAAGTTGATGTTGCCCCAGGGAATTAAATGCAGAGGTCTGAGGCTCCCTATCTTGCATAAGTTTCCTTTAGACTCAGTAACAGGATAATCCAATGTCTGCTGAAAGCAACTGAACTCTAAACTGAGCCTTGATTCGGACCTAAATCATGGCTTTAGCTTTCATACTTACCCTCCCTGTCCGACGACAGGTAGTATCTTCACATTTTGTTGTATGCTATCTCCATTTTTCTTTTTCGCATAGTACATTCCTTGCCATTCCTGAAAGAGGAATTCAAGTGGAAGGAAGTTCACACAAAACAGGAAGAGAAGCTGTAGCTTCATACCTTTTTTCATTGAAAGCTGTCTTACAATACAAAACCAGTCAGGACTGGTTAAACTGTGCTTACCCTCAAATTCCTCCCCTGTAACTAACCTGTAGCAACCTGCATTGCTGTCAATGCAGCCTATGAGTGCCCTGATGGCAACAGCCGAACCTCAGGTGCTGTGGGAATCAGAATGACATATTGTCTTCCCAATCCTACCTCAATGGTGTTGGGGGTCACTGGGGGGAGACCTGGAAAAGACCCCCGCAAGAGCAAGAGCTCGGACCAGCCCCTGCCTGGAGCAAGAGACCCTCAGAGGCTCCAGGGGCACCTGCAGGCTCTACCAGTGCAGGGCAACCCCCTGCCCTGCCCCAGGACCACACACCCCATGGCTGGGACTGCTACACTGGCCTGCCTGACTTTCTCCCTGACTGCGCCGACTCCTCCCAGGACAGGAAGGTCAGTGAGAAACCATTATGCCGACCTGTCTGCCTTCACTTCTAGACTGCATCATCTCTCCTGCAGAGTTGGGAAGTCTTATGACTGGTTAACATTAAATATATCTGTGACTAAAAGCGCTTTGGTATCCTAGCACAATTACTTTCCACACTGTCAGTTCAGTCTCAGAAAGTGGCACAGATTTACCCTGGCTTTTTTAAAGCAAAACAGAGCCTAGCAGAATAGCTACTGGACTCTGTCTCCCTTATGCTGACTTCCCCTCTAAAAGCACTCTGGTTTCAGGATCGCATTTAAGTAAACAATTTTTGAAGTATCAGATTATCACTGCCAGTATCATTGGTTTTCGATAAAATTCATAAATGGGAAAAAAAAAAAAAAAGACAGGGTGGAAACGAATTTTTCATCTTGCAGTGAGAAGTCTTTTTTTCCTCTGGAAATGAGACATTTCTTTCTAGTGCAGAGCCTCATTTTCTTTTTCAGTGAGACTCGGGAAATGTCCCTTCTCCCTTATTTAAGACATGCTTTTAAATGAAATACTGTTAAAACAATCACTTTTGTTATTTGGAGATTTTCAATCCAGAAGGCACCACCATGGTCCCAAACCACCTCCCTGCAGCAGAGCCCACACCCATGCTGGGAAGCAGGGGAGCTCCCATGCTGACGCACGCAGACATGGCTGAAGGTAGCTTCAGCACACACTGGGGCATGGGCCCCTTATCTGTTGCTCCCTCCCAACTCCCTCACCACACTGCTGCTGCTTCTCAAACTGTGCTACAAATACCACAGCAAAAACATATACCACAGCACTGACGGACCTCTCCAGGTCTCCCCTTGCATGTGGTGACTGGACTAGAGTTGCCCCCTCACAGGGCTGTTTAGGAAAACCCAGGGAAAGCAAAATTTAGGAACCCTGGGTCTCCCCGTTTCATTTCTGACAGCAGCACAGACAGCAGTAACCTTCAGAGCCAGTCTTTTGTAACCTGGCAGCTCACAAGATTTACAATCTTGCCTAAAGGTTTCCATCCCTAGAATAGTTGTTGGTGGTCTTTTAAATAGACGTGTATTTTGAGGTGGGCATCTAATACATACCAAGTGATTAATAAATAATTGATTCCATATTGCGTGTTCACTTAATACAAACTACCCATGCCAACTGCTGTCTTTCAGTTGAGTTCAACAGACTGTAGATCAGATCTTATGAACTTATGTGAAAATACCTTCACGAGGCACATGATACATATTTATTTATGTTAGACTAACAGATCTCACAGCCAAGCAGGCCAGAGCACAGGTACAGAGAGAACAGTTTTGCATTTATGTTGATGGAGCCAGCAAAGACTCCAGCCCACAGAGAGCTGCATGGTGACAGGCTGTGCAGAAAAGAATATAAAAGACTTTTCCGAGGATCTGTCGGAGAAAAGAACTGCACATAACAAATTGTGAAGTGAGCATAATATCTTCCCCTGTGAGCTGCATGAGGAATACAAATGAAGATAAAGCAAACATCACAAAATTCAATGCTCTCATAATTAAGAGTACGCATATCAATAGTTTCCTGACAACCAGGATGAGGCAGAGATGAGTAATCGATCTCTAAGCCAGGTAATAAACACAGAATATGCACAAAGGGGTGAAGTCATAAGGTACAGGTTGGGTAATTCCCACATTGAAAGTGCATCCTTTTCAAGACAGGTTACCCACTAATGTGTTCTTCTTAGTCAACAGATTGATTTTTCAACTTGTGAATTTCTAAAACCTGTGAAACTGTGGCAGGAAATGTGTGAGGGAAAAGGTCAGCAGAATTTTGAGAAATAGGAAGTCCAAGCCAAACTCCTGCTGGTAGGTAAAGTTCTCCCAGGGACGTTACTTAAACATATTTTAAGAACACCATATGCTCTCTCACAGAGCCTCTGTCAGCAATCCAACAGAGAAGAGCTACTTCACAAGACGTGCTGTCAGTCAAGCTCATCATTATGTCTAAATTACAGCCACACAAGTACAGTGATCAGTCACTTCTGCATGGCCTGCCATGCTGGGATTGAATGCAAAGTAAAAACTGTACACAGTAAAAAAAATGTTTTCACCCTTTATAGAGTGAATCAACGCTGAGGTTTCAAACTTCATTAAGGTGGCCATGGCATGCATCTATCCACTGAGCACTCATACATGCATAGTAAGTAATCCCCCAATTTGGCCTGCCTTTTAGATTGGGGCTTCTTGCACTAGACAGCAAAGTTCAGCAAGCTACTTGTAGAAAACAGATGAAACCAAAATAAACACAGGATGTCATGAAAACAATCTCACAGAAAGTAAGGCTGAGTTAGGAAGGAATTGCCATAGACCTTTATCATAGAGCATGATCACTCTCCCACCCCCCCTGTAAAGATAGCTATCTTGCAAATAATTCCCAAGGAGTGAGAGGAATTGCATGTCTTCTCTGATTTAGTGATAGCTATCCATCTCACTTCAGAAAAAGCGAAACTAAGATAAAGAGCTTTGTGTCAAACTTCAGAGATCAGAGGCAGCAAGAATTCTAGTCAGAATTACACATTTCATCTTAATGGATGTAATCTAAATGATGAAACAGAAGAATGAAGAAAGTACAACTTGTTTTTTAACTCCTCAAGTATGGATGGGTGAAAATGCCTTTCAATAATGCTGGCTTCTTGCAAATTACAGCCAGCTGTAGTAACAAAAAATGAACTTCCAGAAATTTTTTTTTTTTGCTAAAAGAAACAACGTCCTGACCCAAGATCCCTATGTACCATGCAATTAGCAATTTTTGTGTATAACGCCTACGAACTTTTGTTTGGATACACTGAACTTGCTCACAGTGCTATGTTTGTCAGCACAGGAGGGCAAATGCTGCAAGAGTTCATCTTCCTAAATTCCATTTAAAGGCTAGAGGTAGATTTTATATAGTTTACATTTTTCTAAAGAGCAGAAAATCTTGCTTTCTATTATTTTTGTTATATTACCATGTTTGTTCAAAACAGAAGAGCCAAACTTGTTGACAGGAGAATATCACAGTAATAGACAGTTGGCTTTTTTGGTATGCTATAACCTACAGTAGCCAATATATAGCCTATTGTAACAGGAAGCAGTCTTTTAAATTTAGGATATAAAGAGATCACAAGCGTGAAAACAACTTACAGACCATGTCAGAATGACCCAGACACAAGTTAGGCACCTCTGAAAATGCTATAACACCTTGACATAAATGATTTAAAACTAACGCACCTATAGAAGGCTGCAGTATTTCAAAGGTTGCTCCACACAATTAAAGTCTACTCGCAAATACTTCCTGTAAGAATTTAATTTGCAATTGATTTTTCTATTAATATGTAAATGTAAGGCTACATAGATTGCATACTATAAAATGTTCCAATACAAAAAACATGTAAGCAGAATACATCCACCTAAAACAGCTTAAGCTGTTCCAGACAGACCGGTTTAAATAAGTAGTATTTCATTAGCCCTCATAGTTGGAAGTCCTAGAGCCAGGAGTAAAATAAATGCAAGGAAGGAGATGGATTAGGATTAGATTTCTGTCATTCATAGAGTAAAATATATTTCTCTTATTAAAGACATTTCTATCAGCACACTAAAATATTAAAAATTTTATCACTATTTTGAGAATTGATGTTGTGGATTTAAAGCCTGACACGTCTAATGTATTTGAACTATAACGTAATAAATACTCCCTCCTAACATCAGTTTTGTATTACACACATTTACTGAAATAATTTCAGTCAGGCAACAGAGGTGTGAAGCACCATAATACAAGCTATTGTCTATTGCTGGGATCTCTTCCAAAAGGCCAATACATGTAGAAATGAGTCACACAGTCTCGTTGAAATGCACATACAATCTGCACCCAGCTAGAGTGCAGCTTTTGTTGATGAATGCTTGTGTTAGTACCTTGATTTACAGAGTATGACTCATCACAACTTTGCATCGGTGCTTTTGCATCACTCTCTAGATACACAGAGTGCCATGATTCATTTTAGCATCTCCCTGCTCTGTGTCAATAACATGCTGCTTCCCTGCAGACAGTCAGTGTGACCCAACTAGCTATCCTGACTCAGGTCTGAGCATGGGCCATGACTCATCTACAAACACACCAATTCCCAAATCTCTTTGTGTAACCTCCATGATCTTCTTCCTATAAGGTACTGTGACATGTTCAATGACATCAGAAGTGTTTACACCTCATTGTCAAAATGCAAATGAAAGCTCCTAGAGGGATCCTCACACTACAGCCACAGCACTCCCGAAGAAACATCACGGAGTTACCAAGCAAACAGTAATGTCTCTTTGTAATGACTTCCCTTGAAGCCAGATGCACTTCCTCATGCACTTTCTTGGTGCAACAAACATTTCTAATGGAAATCCATTAGACAGCTCCCATGTCATTAGAGAATAAAAGATATTGGCAACTGGCAGCTGGCACTGCCTATCACTCTCAAGCGATGTTGCAAATGTCTCTTCTGATATTTTTACATTCTGAACTTGCAAATCAGCTTCCACATTTCATGCTGAAATACTTCAATGTGGTTCTTTTCTCATTTACATCACACTGGATAACATGTGCACCCCTCCCATTTCTCTCTGGTATTCCCACACCTTTTGCTAGATACAGCATATACTATAAAGAAACACAGCAAGTCACTTATTTTCATAAAACATGTACCTCTTCCAAGCAAGAAAAGAGAAAGAAGCCCTTAAAAAATGAGCATTTTTCTCTTCCTTTCCATGTTTGAGTAAGAAAGCTTCAAATGCTACATGTCTGTGAAGCTGCAAGTTACATCACGTGTCATCCCTGGACAATAATAACTTTTACAGGTTGCAAATGATAAGTGATACAATGCCATTACTCACCTTTCCTATCTTTATGCAGGAATTAATAGTATCTAGGAAATCAGCTTTTTTTTCATTTATAGGCACTTCTGTTAACTCCTTTCCTATTAGTTCACCTATTTGATAGCCCATCACTGTTTCAAAAGCAGGATTGACGTACTGCGAAATAAAAACAACAAAAAAACCCATTCAACGGAATACTTAAAACACAACAGGATCCCTTTTTTTCTATTTGATAAACCACGGGATCTCTTTCCCAGCCTGAAATAAATCTCTGTATGTACTGCTCCTGAGAGACATGCCTACTTTTTTTTCTTTGTGAAGCAAAACAGGAATGTCCATGCAAGAAGAGTTGTGCAGAGCGTGTGCATGTGAGCAAAGAGAGGGAAATTATAGAAACAGCTGAGTATTACATATCCACAGAGTTTAGGCAGACAACATAAATGCCTGAAAAATGAGCTCTGTCAGTTCTCAAATCTATAAACCTCAAACCTACTTCAGTGTCCCTAAAAACCACAAATTAGATGGTGGGATACCGTAAGAATATTAACCTTATCTGTTGACAAATTCATCATCTTATTGTGTGTAAGGGCCAACCATCACTATTCCCCTGTCCAGGCAAAGCCCAGCCAAGCAGACTGGAAGAAGTGGAATCTAATAAGGCAACTTTCTCTCTGACCTGAATGTTGCATTTCGCTGCAATTCTGTGGCCCTTGCCCAACAAAACTGAAGACCCATAGGTAACCATAGCCCACATCTTCATGACCCTCTTGCTAGCTGAGTTACAGACACAGGTCCTGCCAGAACAGTGTCTGAAAGCCTCACAACTTACAATGTTTCCATATGAGAGAAATGAAAAGGGCACCACTGGATGCCCTCTGCTCCTAAAGATTCCCCCCTAAAGGTTCCTTCCAAAAGGTTCCCCCACTGTGTGAGAAAGCCCTGCCTGCTGGAGCTCCAGGACTCTTGCACATGCTGGTTCTCTCATATTCTGGGGCTGTCAGCAGATGGACAAAATTTGGTCTGAAAAAACATATTTAAAACAACTTCAGGATATGTTCTGCTATTTTTGCAAAAGGGATGAAGAAGGCACATCCTTCAATGAAATTGCCATTGTCAAGATTTGGGTCAAGAGGGTACAATTTATATGCATGTTATAACTCCCAGAGGCTTAGACTCAAGCTCTTTACTGATAATAAAATCATTCCTCATAGCCTTCATAGCTAGGAATGGAACCAACTCCCTTATAAAGATGATGTTTTTCAGGACTACAAACGTAAGCAGAATTTCTTTTCCCTTTTTTAAAGACATTTTTAAGAGAGGATTACATTAAAAAACAGTTGGCCCAAGAATTCCGATGCATCAAACAGTATCAGATTTAAGAAAAAAAAAGTGTACTACCTTTATTTAAATAGAACATCAACTAGATTTGCTTTTCAAGACATCAAATTAACATACCATATGTTTGGAAAAGAATGCATACAAGCCAGTGGCTGCATTCATTTATGATATAAAAGAATCATTACAAAAAATAAAAACTAAAGAGTAAATCCTCATTCATTCAGAAACAACAATCTCCCTTAAAATTGACCTGATTTATGCAAGATATTTTAAATGGAGAAAATTCTACTCTACAGCTAAACTCACTCCAATCTTTTTAGAACCATTAAGTTAGGTTAGATCCTTGTACTGTAAGAAAGAGTAAATGTAACCATGGATGAAATAAAATACAGTCAGTCCACAGAGCAATTTTCTGTACTTATAAAAATAACTGGAACAAACCTGTATGACATGGTCTTCACTTGTGATCTCAATGGCTTCTTGACTTTTCTCTAATGCTGTAAATAATGAATTACACGCCCTGGAGACAAAAAAAAAAAAAAAAAAGCATCTGATTATATTTAATCCATGTAATTCTTATTGTATATGACAATAAGATATTGCAACTCCATCTTGAATAAAGTTGTACTTTAATGATTAACAGATTTTCTTCAGCTAACTGACATTCTATAATTAACTACAACACAGTAAAATAAATACTCTTTTAAAGATATGGCTGAACTGGCATTTTTTTGTTGATAATTTTTTTTGTAAAATTACCTTAGTTTGAATTGTGCCTGCACCTCTCCAAATTCCAGCTGAATCAACTCATTGTAACAGGCCATTATATTGGAATTTTCTACATATCTCTGCACATAAAAGATTAGAAATATTTCATTAATACACATTTCCGTACTCGAGGGTATGAAGCTCTGTTTTCTTTTGCTTGATAAAGAACTAAAAAGGAGCAGCTATGCCAAAAATGAACATGTTGTAACACAAGCAACATGAGAAGATTATTTTTTCAGACTAGTAACTTCAGGTTACTGCATTTTCAAAAGGTGACAGATCCTCACGGCAATGAGGTTCAACCATTCTGTTTATTCTCTGTGATTGTCAGCATGATCAATATATAAAATAATCTACTTTTAATGAAGTTATATGCTTTCATGCTACTTATTTAAAATAACAGTGAAAACATTATGTCGTGGCTCAAGTCATCAAAATTTGAGATTGTTATGAGTTTCCAATTGCTAATACCCCAATTTGTATACATAGAAGAAAGCAGAACTTCCTGACAAATACACCTGCCATTGGATACAATTACTCATTTTGGGGCTTGTATAGCAATGACCTCAATATCTTTGAGATTTTTTTAAAACATCTCATGGTTTTACCAGGTGTGAGCCTGAATGTTAAATCTTTGCTCATGCTAAACTGCCACAGACACTGATAGTTTGGGAGAGAGGATTGATTATCAAAGATAAGCCATCACATCAAGGCTGCTATACAAAATTTTCAGTGCTTTGCCATTAGCCCCATCTCCAAGGCACTGATCCATAAATAATTCAGAACCTGTATCAGATTACTTATGTGCCCACTGGAATGACTCTGTACATGTAAGTACAGTTACTTTCAGGCTCCAGCATTTCCTGTATTAGGACCTTACTACAAATAAGCAAATAGGTGCAAATGGATTGTGATGGGATAGCAAAAAATCTGGTGAGCATGCAACCAAATACTCTGAATCACACTGTAAATCATGCACATTTTTGTTCCACTGTCAGCTTAATGCAACGAGGAATCCACTTAACTGACGCACTAATAAGCACCTTTCCTGCTTAATTGGAATAGTTGCCAAGGAACAGATTCAATGTAATACTTTTCAGGTGCCTCCAAACAATAGATAATAGCACTTGTCAGTGTCTGAAGCCTGTTTACAGATGTGAATTGGCATTTGATAGAAGAGATTTCCCACAGCACATTCTGTTGTTCATTGCATGCTGCTCTCTGGCTCTGCTACAGTCACTAGTCAATTTTGTCAACGTCAACTTTTCAAGTAGAGCATCATACACTTACTCTGAAATAAATGTATAAAGTAGAAAAGTCTCAGCACCACTTCTTATATTCCTGAGAATGCCCACCTACTTAGTCAGCATTATTCCAACTCTACTGGTGTATGGTAGTTCAGAATTGGGATATATATGTAAGAATGAGCACCATGAAAAAGATTTACAGGTTGGATTACAGACACAAATGGTCACTGACAGCCAAACTTCTGGATAGTTTCTTGCATGACAATTTTGAAATGTCAGAGCAACGTAGTGCAGTATAACACATACATACCCTTGTGAAGCCAGCAGAGATCAGGGGCAATATTGATGACTCTTCACGATCAGCATGCCTTTTAAAGAAGGATGATAAAAGTCAGAGATTATTTCTGTAATCAACTGAGACCCAATTTCACAAGCCATTGACATACCTGTACCCCAGATTAGCTAAAGGCTAATACGGCTAGATCCTTACAGGATCTATGAATAACACATATTTTTTTGTGGTTTTTATAAGCTTTCACCTTTAGCATGGGTAAGCCAAAATGTTCTTTTCCTTTTTGCACGTAATGAGTTGTTTACCTCACAAAAAGCTAATGCTTCAAGAAAACAAATTGATTAGCTAGACTGTTGGACTATTGCTTCTTTTTCAGTACTGGATTCTTTGTTGTTTATGCTGTCCTTAGTCAAAGATGCACTTGAAAGTCTACATGCCCGAAGTTTTAAGAAATTACTTGTTATCTGAGTGTACCAAATCTTAGGTGGGGAACTCAAGACACCTGAATGAGGATGGATTTTCTAGTGTTGCCTACCTAGTGCCTTCTAGTCAGTCACTTTGGGATGATGTACTCCTAAAGTGAGATACCTGAATCATTTCGAAAAACTTGGCTATACTAACTGTTGAAAGACACTCCAACAAATGTGAATGTATGGCTGGAATCTGGAAGAAAGGCCATTACATTAAGTTTCTATAAATGAGCAGACAGAAGCTGGTCAGTTTTAGCAGATGGCACAATACTTTTATTTATTTGTGAAATTTTGGATCTTATGGCACCTCTTTTTGTTTTCTGTGCATTTGTTTCTTATGCATGAAGAGAATGATGCCTACTAAAGTACAAGGTTTGCCCAAGACTAAGCAGAGAGAGAAGGGCAGCTGTCAGAAAAACCTCCCTATTCCCCATGCCAGCTTTCTCATAATGCTGCCTCCCAGAAGCACAAAGAAAGAGGACAGGCGTTCTGCAGGGGCGGAGGGGGAAACAAAACAAAAAAACCACCAACGAACTGAACTGCAGGAAAATGAAGAAGACCCTCCATATGCTATTGGCTAAATGTCAGGCTTTTTCACAAATATGCTTCTTGCAGCAAGAAAGGAAATGTGTGAAAGTTCTCTGTCTGTGAAATTCGAAAGAGCGACTTGAGAATGCACATGGGAACCTGAGACAGTCAACTCAGTTCCAGTGGAAGGCAAACCCACTTCTGAAGTTTTCACTAGACAGGGATACTAGACACATCTGAAAAATTTGAGAACTCAAGCTTCTGAGATATTGTCACTGCAGGGGGCTATTATCTTGTCCCAACACACAATGCGAACATTTTGAAGAGACAAAAATGAATTGCAGGGAAAAAACCCTTTTGAGCAACATCCCAATTGTGAGTCAGGAAGCCCAGGTTCCAAGCTCTCCTCACTTTTGAAAGGAACTGCTGGCCCACTGAACCACAGGTGTCTTTCTCTCTGATGTACATGAAGCAGCTCTTGAGTTAACTGTTTGCTCTTTCGCTCCTTTTTTTTCTCTTTTCTTTTGTGTCAGTCCGATGAGAGACAATTCTGACTGTAGAAGCAATGGTTACCATAGTCAGAAGACTTCCTGACATGAAATCATTGAAGATGATATTCACAATGGAATCCCCTGAAATGTTACATTAGGATCTTTTGTTTGTTTTGTTTTTGTTTTGAGATGGTGGTGGAAAATAGGACTTTTAATGGGAAATTTCCACATCTCAGAATTGGTTTTCAGAATAAATGTTTTCTGAGAAACGGACATTCCCAAAATTGCACTTTGAGGAAATTATCTTCCATTTATTTAATTTCAGATTAAATATATTGCATTTTTGTTACTTTTATATTATTTTATGATATATAAGTAGTGTTTTCAGAGGGAAGAGGAGGAAAAAAGCATATGTAGTGCTTCACTGAGTTGTCATAATGTAGTCTATTTTACTTTTAAAACTTCTATGGTCAGATGATACTTTGTACTGATCAAATTGTTTTGTATCTTTTTTTGTAACTCAATAGATCTCCTGTTTATGCCGGATTAATCAGACCGAAAGACAGATCAAGAAAGGTTCAAACTGTTATTTTTATTCATACCAAAATACAGATCTATGAGGCAGTTCCACAGTTCTGTACATGATGTTGCAGAGCTTATTTGAAACATTCTCCTAAAGCCTGCAGTGATCAGGAGAGGGGGAAAAAACAAAACAAAACAAAACAAAACAAAACAAAACAAAAAAACCCAAAACAAAACCCAAAGTGAGGCCTCTTTAGTAAGAACTAGAAGTCAAAAATCCTGTCCCAGTCCTGTGGTCAAGGACAGTGAAAACTCTATATGGTATAACACACTATCACCAGCACAGTAAGAAGTTCTAAATCAAGATTTTTAATGTAGTATTTACTTTTACAGTGATAAGATTTACATTTTGTTGATCACATGTGAAAGTAAAGATATGATTATTTACCTTCGTACTACACCAATAATTACTGTATTTTCTGAGGGTTTCGTTGTTCTGATAGACCTTTAAATAAAAAGCAAAAAACTTAACATTTTTTTAAGTTCACATTTCAGAAAACATGACTTTACAGGATCTTCACACAGTACTTTTCTTAAAATGTCTCTTTTAAATGGTTTAACAACAAAACAAAAATCAAATCCTGAGCCTGCTGGACCACTAAGAAAGGATTAGCAATATCTTGAGACTCCATGAAAAAAACAAGACACAGAGAATGTAGATTAATCCAAACCTCAAATACTCTCAGTGAAGGAGTAGCAAAAATTCTCCCCTCTGAAATGGCACATAATGGACTTGTTTGAAGGACTTAGCCTCACTCATTTAAGGAGCATTTTACTTTATTCTGGGACAGAATGGTAAAAATGTAACAAGTGGAACAGTGCGGATACCTAGTCTTTGCCTGACAAAGATCTTAACTAGTTACTTTAGTTTAGCAAGAAGAAGAGCCTTTGTCCCAGTGCCCTGAACCCACCACACTCACCCAGGGTACATAATCTGACCCCGCCACCCCCACCCCACAGACTATTACTTAGTCTAGACACATTCCCAAGGGGTATTTCACTGGAAAGTCACTGAAGCAAGGCACCACTGCCTGTCAAGTCTCTGTGGAGAGACTCAGAAAGGCAAATCCTTTTCCCCTTTTTTCATACTTTACAGCAGTTTGTGAAGTATTTTTGGAATCAGTTTGCAACTTTGCTCTTCATAACGGATTTTCAAATGTAGGTATGGAAACGTGCACACAAAACATTGCCTATCTGCATCTGGAGTTACTCAACAGAAAATGATACTTCAAAAAATTCAGAACACTAATGAAGTGAATGTATTCATTAAATTGCTTGGTGGCATATGTGATCTTTTCAGTTAATTTAATGTGCAAACAAGGAACCAGGTATTTGGAAAAAAAAAAAAAAAAACAAAACAGTTCACTATGGCAAGGAATCTGTACACCGTGGCTCCAAGCCAGATCAAGCTTCAGATATCCTAGCACACAACCAAAAATGCTGCAGCTATCAGATACAAATAAAGCTCTGAGGTAACATTATTTGATGCTGCCAGTGGACATCTGTCCAAAAAAATATCAACGTTCGACAGATTTTATAAATGGGTCATATAAAAGCCAAAAAACTTTGATGATGTGTTAACTATATAGTTAAGCATTAATTACACTGAAATGGTGCTTACCTGCATAATGCTTCTGCATCAAAGTATCTGGAATGTCTATGGTCAATAATGATAATGTCATGGTGTTTATCAAGAAAACATTCTAGTGCCGACTCAGGTGTCCTGGCAATATTACATCGAAATCCAGCTTTCTCACATGCCCAACAGAACCCATTACTCTGGTTATCTTCTTTGGCAAACACTAAAAGTACCTGGGTTAAAGACAGACAGTGAATCATTACAAACAAGTCTTACATATACAGTAGATTCTGTGACTTTTGCCTGTTCTTAACATATTCTTAAAAGCCACTTCGAAGGCTTAATCCGTTGTTTTTAACAAAATTGCTTTCTACAGACTATTGCTTTTTATAATTGTCTGTATACAGAGGTGTTTCAAGTGGATAAAGTATGTCTGCCAGAGCCATTTACATCCACATGGGATGAACAAGTTTGGGAAGTGTCTCTCTCATCGTTAGCTACAAAGAGAGCACAGCCAATCAGTTGAGACTAGATGCCTACGTTTCAGACAGTGTACATGAAATAACAGCAAGTCTAATTTACTTCACTGAAATTGTCTCACATACAACCCTTTTCTTGGGTTTTATTTTTCTTGCCAGGATCATATTCCAGAAAAAAAAAATGCCATGGTTCACCTCATGTGAATTAATATTTAACGGTGTTTCAATGGCATGATGAAAAATGTGCTTTCCTTTTCATCTCATTCTAGTTCCCCAAAGGACTGGATGCAGCCCACTCTGCGGGGTTTCTGGGAACTGTAGACAGGCTGGTCAAGATGAACTCATGCAAGACTGAAATCATAAGCAGTACATCTCCATGTAACTCCTATGCAAAGCTTGCCATGGGATTTATATCACAGAAGGAGATTACCGTGGTTGAAATCCAGAACTGGAAGTCAGATCTATGAGACAGTATTTGCCCTGTCCTAACTTGCTGTGTAATTGCCAATAACATTAATCTCTCTGAGCCTTTTTAAAATCAATACAATGCCTACATACTCAAAGTATGATAAGGCCCAATTCCTTCTAAAAAGTATTTCGAATTCTAGGATTGAATACAGTACAGAAGATAAACATACAGTCTGCTAAGGAAGACTCTCACTGATGTGGTTGTGCTTTGCATGAAGATAATATTTTGTAGAAGAAAACTTCTTTTGCCTGAAAGAATACATAGAACGGCAGACTACAGATCTATGTTAGTCTTGATTTTGTGGATGACTCGGTATATGCAGCCTTTTAGGAAAGATGGATAACTAAACTGGCATTTGGTCTATTGTCCCAAGACACCAACCTTTCAGTAATTTAATCAAACCACACTTAGATATATGCTTTGGTCAGACAATAATGTGGAGCATGTGTAACTCGCACCCAGCCCACTGCCGTTTATCTCCTGGGTGACTGCAGGAATTCCAGTGCTGGTTACACTTTGGACCAGGTTGGTGGAATGTCTACCAGTAAATCATAGCATTTCCATGTAGTGCATATTTTTGTAAGAATGAAGGACTTTGTACTCATTTAGTTCAGATTCCTTTTATAGCAACCTGCAAAACTGTTTGCAAAAACATGTCATAGTTTGGGCTATATTTAGCGAAGTTAATTTGTAACACTCTTTAAGAGGGGAAGAATGGTTTTCAGCAATAGCACAGAAAGTCAGCAAATCTGAGTTGTATGATTGACTCTGGCACAAATGGGATGTTGTCTAACTTCTCCTTCCCTCATACCTGCCACCTATATTACCAGAATAAATTGGTAGAATTTTAGAGTGGCCTATGACTTCACAAAAGTGATACAATCATTAATAACAACAAAGGAGACAGAAATATTTGAGGAATGTTTCTGATTTATACTTGGGGAACAGCTGGATGAGGCTGTCCGAAGATCTGAAGTTCAGTGATATTACTGTCTGTTCTGACAATAGCTCAGGAAGATGTTGAACTGCAGTTCTTGAAGACAGACATTTTCAAATTATCAGGTCCAGATTACTTTCACTCAAGAGTTCTGTAATTACTGACTGAGGAACACCTTGGATTATTAATGGTTCAGTATGCCTTGGGATACAGGAGAATTTTCAGAGGAAGTCCAAAGGAGTCATGTATCTGCAAACCTCATACCCATCCCAGACAAAATAAGGGGACAACTGACATATGAACTTTATTAATAAAGAGATTTATTTATATTTATATTTATTAA